GAGAGCTCTACATCCAGGTCCACAAGCAGCAGGTATAGAGAGCCACTGGGCCTGGCTTGGGCCTTGGAAAACCCCAAAGCCCACCTCCAATAACACACTTGTTCTAGCAAGTCTGTACCTGTTCAAACAAGGCCACACCTCCCTATCCTTTCAAATGGTGCCACTGCCAGGTGACAAAGCATTCAAATATATGAGCCTATGAGGCCATTCTTATGCAAACCACCACAAAAGGTAAAGAATGAAGGTACCCTATTTAGAACTTTTGATCTGCCATGGGGTTTTGTCCCTGGTAGCATTCTTGGCTGACAGATATAGCACAAATAATAAAAACCAAAAGACAGATATTGGAGTTCAATCTAAATATCAGAAAAGTAAAAACAGCCAAGCCCCTAGAGATCTCTTACCTCTTTGAAATCTTCTCTGAAAGAGGGCAATTTTCTACCTCATCCCACTTTATATTCTTCTCTAGTGTTGGGATTAGAGGTGTGCACCACCACCACCACCGGCCGGCTTCTATGGCTGACTAGTGTGGCTGGTGGGACTACAGGTGTGTGCCATCACCGCCTGGCCTCTATGGCTGACTAGTGTGGCAACTTTGCACTAATCTTCATAAAATGTATCAGAACCATGGCTGTCAGCAAGTCAAGTCACTATGTTTGAGTCTGACCAACGTGACATGCCAACTACTTCATCCTTTCAACCACCTTTATCCACAACAGTTTAATTTCCCCCACACTTCGAAAGCAACTCTGTTTCTGTCTTCAATATCAAAATCCTTCAATTTGACCATTCTCACACCCTCTCCCCATTAAGTAGCCTCAACCACTCCCCCGGCTCCTTGTACTATGTATAAAGGTTGCTGGATCTGTTGTCCTGGCCCAGCTGCACCTCCTCATCAGATGTGAGTCTTTAAAATGTCTCTTTTTGCCCCATTGCTACTCAGGCTACCAACTCGAAGCCTTTTCTGAGCCTCTTACATACATTTCCAGAGCACTGGATTACGCAAATATGTAATCCCCAGTTACATACTGCTAGGGAAACCAGAGCTTTGTACATACTAGGTAAGCACTCTGCCAACTGCACTGTATCCCCTACTCTGGAGGTAGTATCATCACTACTATTTTTGCAGATACGGCAAATCTAGGGTATCTGATCCACTTACTCTAGTTAGAGGAAAGTTAGCTTCTTACTATCTGGCAGAGTGCCTGACAGAGAGCAGATGCTCTGTGTATGTTGAATTTTGATTGGTTCTAAGTGGTCTAAACTGAGTGATTTGTTACCTAAGTTTATAGCGTATACATGTCAGCCTTATGGTGTCTCGTCTTACACCAAATTATTGTGTAAGTCACTAGTTCTGCTTTTTGGAAAGTAACTACGAAGAGCTTAAATTCTTCATCTTGACCAATTTTGGATCTCTGTAAGTCTCCGCCTACTACAGAAAACAGTTTACAACTAAGGTGATGTGGGAGTGATTTCTTATTAATAAAGAAACTGCCTAGGCCCCTTGATAGGCCCACCCTTAGGTGGGTGGAAAAAACAGAAGAGAATTCTGGGAGAAGGAAGCTTAGTGAGAGAGTCGCCATGGTTCTCCCGCTCCAGACAGACGCAGGTTAAGATCCTCCCTGGTAAGCCAGCTCGTGGGCTACACAGAATATTAGAAATGGGTTAGAACAATATGTAAGAGCTAGACAATAAGAAGCTGGAACTAGCCGGGCCAGGCAGTGTTTGAAAGAATACAGTTTCTGTGTAATTATTTCGGGCATAAGCTAGCCATGCGGGCGGCCGGGTGCCGGGGCCGGGTGCCGGGGACGCAGCCCTGCCGCTCCTAATTCAACACTAAGGTTCAGCACAAATAATGGAAGAGGGATCAGGAAAACCGTAAAAGCTGGAGGCTTGGGATACTTGTTGCTAGATAGTGTCTACTTGACAAGGAGGATACACAATGAAACCTCCACAGCATGGTGGCCTGAAGAAGACCAGCGTAATGACAATACGAGATGACATGCAACCTAGACAGGGGAAATTCCACAGGGCCCCTCCCCTAGACGAAGAGCACTGGGTAGTCAATGACTGCTGGGAGAAAAAGGGTCAGTTTTCTCCAGGGACAGGTTTCCACACAGCATGTCCAATCTCAACTGGTCAGTCCTGGAAACATGTATATACCAACAGTGCTAAGTAGGCACAGTAGGTTGCACATACATGTGCTGTGGAAGGGGGTGGGACTTAAAATTCTTTTAGACTTTTGTGATCTAAATATCCACATCAATGTCTATGCAAACTTGCTCTAAGAGCCATCATATGGACCAGACCAGCAAGCCCTTACCGGTCCTATGAAACAGTTCACTATCCCTCCCTTGATCCCCCAGTTTCAGAAAAGGCATCATGCCGATTTGTACAAGTTGCTTTCCAGTACAAAAGGATTTTCTGAAATTTGTGTCAGGAGCTAGGAAACGAGTTAGCAAGAGATGCCTCACTCTCTCCGAGAGAACTTGTTCTAATTTTCTCATTAGTGAAGACGACATCATCATAAACAAAATCTGCCAACAATCTGATATAAAAATGTACATGTGTCGTGAAAAATAATTGCTCTTCAATTATCACTGAATTATAAAGCTGCTACACAGGTGCAATAATACACGGGCCCTGCAAGTCTGAAAAACTGCAAAGCTTAGGTAATTATGTATATTTCAATGAAGACCCTAGAATAAAATTTTCAGAGTTGAAAGAAACAACAAAGCCAGAACCAAAGAGCTATTTATAGCCATGTATTCTTAAGTTTTCTATTCTTTCTTCTATATACATTCTGAAAATCCAGGGATAATTTTTTAACTCTGGCCTCCAGGAAGATAGAGAAATATCTCTTCCTCTACTTCCAACTGTACCCACAGGGACAGGACTGAAAAGATAGAAATCTAAAGAGAACTATGATAATTGCATTTTTTAAAAATAATTAAATCGTACTTACACCCTGCTTAGTTTATGAATATGAAGAGTAGAATTTATAGGCAGATGGGTCTGTCACGACTGTTGAAAAGATATATTTCTTATAAATTACTAGTCTTTAGCAAGAGAAATTAGTCCCAGATAGCAAGAGTCTTACATACCATCCAGTTCACAGTCTTTACCGCAGAAAACAGAATGTCCTACGAAGTCAGGCTTATTGCTCCGATTGTAGCTACTGTAGAATAGTCTAAAGTCAGATTCCTACAACACTGTGGATTTGAGCAGCTACGAGCTTGGACAGTTAGCTACATTTTCTACTTTTTAAGTCAAGTTCTGGTAAAGTTCTGGGATAGACTTTCACCCAGTTACTGATGAAATAAAGGCTCACCCAGTTACTGATAAAATAAACTTGGGCTCACAGCAAAAGGGCTGTTAGTTTTTAAAATCATTATTAATTAGTTAAATTTGTTTAGACCCGTCACTGACGACTGTCCCATTTTTATTTCTTTTGCAGTGACTAAAATCTTTGACCATCAGCAACTTAGAGGAGGTAAGGATGTATTTGGCTTACACTTCCAGGTTAGTCCATCCTTGAGGGAAGTCAGGCAGGAACTTCAAGCAGGGGTCCCAGGAGAAACTGCTGTCTGGGTCACTCTCTGGCTTGCATTCTGACTTATTCTCTCTCTCTCTCTCTCTCTCTCTCTCTCTCTCTCTCTCTCTCTCCACACACATACACACACACACACATACACACACACACACACAGGTTCATACTTAGCTAGTTTTCATATAGTCCATAACCTCATTTCTTAGGGATGGTACCATCAATAACAGGCTGAGTCTCCCTGTATTAATTAATATTTAAGACATACTCCACCAGACATACCCACAGGCCAATCTGATCTAGGCAATACCTTAACCAGGACTTTAAATCTTCCCTCAAGACACTTTTAAAAAAATTAGCTACAGCTGTGGCTGAGGCTGTGGCTGATGTTAGGCTGTGACTGTGACTGATTCTAGGCTGTGGCTGTGGCTGTGGCTAATGTTAGGCTGTGGCTGTGGCTATGGCTGATGTTAGGCTGTGGCTGTGACTGATGCTAGGCTGTGGCTGTGGCTAATGTTAGGCTGTGGTTGTGGCTAATGTTAGGCTGTGGTTGTGGCTAATGTTAGGCTGTGGCCGTGGCTGTAGCTGATGTTAGGCTGTGGCTGTGACTGATGCTAGGCTGTGGCTGTGGCTAATGTTAGTCTGTGATCGTGGCTAATGTTAGTCTGTGACCGTGGCTAACGTTAGGCTGTGGCTGTGGCTGATGTTAGGCTGTGGCTGTGGCTAATCTTAGGCTGTGGCTGTGGCTAATCTTAGGCTGTGGCTGTGACTGTGGCCATGTCTGAGGCTGAGGTTGAGTCTCTGGCTTGACTGAGGCTGTGGCTATTTGTATGTATACACATGTGAGTGAAGGTGACCTCAGATCATTAGATACCCTTAAAGCCAGAGTTACTGCTATTGTGGGCCACCATCCATTGGGTGCTAGGTATCTCGCTATATTTCCAGCCCCTAAATCAACCTCTTCTACTATTTCTACTTTGGGGGTTGGGTGAGGTTCTCGGGAACTGAACCTAGAGGCTCACCATGCTAGGTAAGCACTACTTCTGAGCTGCCTCCTTAATCCTCTTTTCACTCTTTATTTTGAGAAGGAATCACTATGCCTCCCATGCTGGCATTCAACTCATTCTGAAGACGAGGCAGAACTTATAGTCTTCCTGTCTCAGTCACCTAAGGAAATTAGATGACAAGTTGCAACACGAGGCATAGCGATATGCTAAATTTTCAAGTGTCTGATAAGTCACAGGGGCCCACCACTATAAGGTACTAGACATAGATTGACATAGAGGGTAAAAATTCAGGAGCTGTCTAAAGCAACGGACAATCAAAGGTAAGTATGAAACTGTTCCAAGATTCAAAGAACTCATAGTTAATAAAAAAGAAAAAGAAAGCATAGAAACTAATACACAATAATATAACACGCATTGAAACAGAGAGTTGTGCACAGTACCTTAAGGATATGGAAAGACACCCCAGTGTCATCAGCATGGAGCAGGAGAAGGACACCAACACATCTGCTTGGAGCCACTTGCCCTTGGAGGGTAGAAGAAACCACCACGGACTTATCCAGTGCTGTAATGTTGAGCAAATACACGGCGGGGGATGGGAGGGAAAGAGGCGCGAATGATTCATGTCCTGTGGAGCAAGGCAGATCTGAAGAGGCAAAGGTGGTGAGGAGCAGGCTGATATGCCAGGACCATGGTGACACCCGAGCCTGTGCCATGGACCATGTCTGATCTGTGGCCCTGCTGCAGCCACAGTCTGTGTTGATTTCCCGGGCTCCTGCTACCATCAAAGGCTATGAGAATCGGGCTGTACAGAGTTGGTCTTGTCCCTCGCTGGCTGCAGCACTCAGGAGAGCAGGCCCTGCACCTCACCACAGCAGAGCGGATCCTGGTGGTGGGATTCCAGGTGAGCTGTCCCTGATGGCATGAGAACAGGAGGACTGGCCCAGTCCCTTTGCCGCCTTCTTCACTGAGTGAGCTCACTCTGGTGGTGAGAATGAGGGCGATCTGGCAAGCTAACCAATCCAGCAGCAATCCAGAACCAGGGCTATGAGTTGGCCCACTCCAACATCTACCTACCTATGAACTACTGGAGCATATGAAGGGGCCGGCCCTGAAGATCCAAAGCTGCAGGATCTCCACATGGTGATACACAGATTAATAGAAATGTGTTCATTTTAAGATGTAAGAGCTAGTTAATAAGAAGCCTGAGCTAATAGGCCAAAAAGTGCTGCAATTAATATAGATTCTGTGTGATTATTTGGGTCTGGGCGGCTGGGAAACAAATAAACAGTCTCCACTTATAAGTAAATAAGTAAGTAAATATGTAAATAAATAAATCTGAGTGAGGGAGTGGTAGGAAAGGAACCAATAAAGGTGTTTTGGGTTACTTCAATTCCCCTTAGTATAATCCAGCCTCCTGACTTTTGCCTTCTGTGCAAACAGGACTTAGAAGATGGCTCCATATTTCCCAAAGATTCATTACTTAGTGTATCTGAGGAATATAGATATAAAGGAACAAGAAATAAAAGGCACTTGTGTGTGAGAGCTGTGACATTTCCTCAATAGTTTCTACACTGAGCTTCCTCTGTGGCTTTCTGATTCGGGCTTTGTGTACAGTCACTGTAAGAGACTCACCGAGGTAAGAGAAAGAGCAGGGCTACTGTTTAATTCCTCTCCCAACTCAGTGGATGTCCTTTTACTAATTACTCTGTCCTTATCACAAGACTATCAGACTTCCCCTCTGTACCCAAAGCTGCAGGAAGCCTAGCTTCACAGTAAGTGGTCCTCTCTGCCCCCTTGAAGGTTATAGAAGCAGGCAACCTCTGCAGTTTTCACAGAGGAAAAGTTTTCCAAAGCCCAAGTTTCCACCACAGAATTCCAGCATGCTCGCCAGTGGCCCCTGCAAGAAGCAGAGCTGCTCTGCTTGGGAAAGACACCACGGAAAACCTTCGTCGGTGTCATTACATCCTCAGTGAGTGGCTTGTAGAGCAAACACAAGAGACAGAAACTGTTCGGCTGGTAGTAAAATTAACTTTCTGTGGTTTACAGAAACCACAATGGTTTGTAACTTAATCAAACCACAGATTGCAATGACCTGGGTGTTTTACTAAAGGGCAAAATTGTCAGAAGAGAAGCCAGGAGGCACTAAATTCTTCACCAGGGCCTCACTGTTGCCTCTTCTGTGTCCTGCCATCTGGATGATTCAGATTCCATATGTCCATTCCTGGGTCATTCCACCCATATATTTTAAAACATTATTATTATTATTATTATTATTATTATTATTATTATTATTATTATTACTCTGTGTGTGTATACCATATGTGTGGTCATTCATGTCAAGGTACACATGTGGAGGTGAGAGACAACTTTTTGTGGAATCAATTGCTTCCTCCTACTTTTAAAACAGTTCTAGGAATTGAAGTCAGGCCACAAGGCCTGCAAGGCAAAAACCTTTACTCACTGAGCCATCTTACCAAACAACTGTGTGGGAAAGCAGAGAAGTTCACATCAGGGAGGCCAGGGAGCATAGAAAATTAAATACAGGGAGGGATATGAACAATGTACAGCCTTCAAAGATGAGCCGCCAGTGACTGACTTTCACTAGGTAGACACACTCCTGTTTCACAGGGATTCCCTGATGATCAGGTTCACCATGACCTCCTGTGATAGACAGAGTCATTCTCCAACATGAGCTGGGCTGTGCTCCATGCAATTTTCATGTAGATCCATTTCCCAGGAAAAACTATACTGAAAAGAACACCACTTTAATCTCACAGAAGTGATCAAGTCTAAGGGATAAACAAAGAAAAATAGGACATAATATTAGTTTATTTTCAATTTCCGTGATATAAATAACCTGACAAAAAGAAACTGAGGTGAAAGTGGTTTATTTGGATTACAGGTCTGGGGGCAAAGTCATCATGGAGAAGACTTGGCAGCAGGCAGAGAAGGCATGGTGGCAGGAACAGAAGAGAGCTGATCACATGTACTGCACAGAGGAAGCAGAGAGAAAACAGCACCCTCAGTGATCCCTCAAAGCCCACTCCCACTGATCATTTCCTCCAGCAAGGTGCCACCTCCTAAAGAATCTGCAATTCTCCCACAAGTGCCGAGAAGTCATGCACATGAACACATGGGGACATTCATATACAACCCACAAGAGATACGACAGCCAAAGAAGGGACACAGAAGCTGGGCGGATCAAAACATGAACCAGTACACAGAGCCTGTTACAAAGCATTTTGCTCTGTCCTTAAGAGACAAATGATACGAATCAAAGTCCACAGCCTTGATCAATCTTTGGTTTGGTACGCCAACATGAAAATAAGATTCGCTTGTTAAAGTTTTACAGGTTGACCTGGTAGTCCCATCCACTTGTCTCCATGAATCCCAGGCTCTAAATCCCAAAATGGTGAGATATTCTCATCCACTGTCACTTTCGTCAGCCTAGTTGATGTCCCCTCGCTTTCTAAAATAGGCTCGGTGGGAGCCAGGATAATAGTAGATCCAATATTTCCCAAAGCCCGTGTAGACTGCTTGCTGTATTCCTGACTACTGGTTAATAAGCAGTCAGTCAAATGGCACCTTTTGATTCTGGTTTCCTCAGAGAGGCTGTTCTACAAGCTTGGGGTCAACCTAAAGGACGTGGAGTTTATTTAATATTTTCTCCTTTCATTAGCGAGCTTAAATTACTTCCTTGTAAACCCTGCTCGTTACCTAAATGTACTAGCACTTTTGTTTCCTAATTAACTTTCTTATCAGAATCCCAAGCAAAAGTAACAAGAAATGGAATCATGATAAGGTACCCTGCCTCCTCAAAACAGATTTCCTTTTCTGCTTTATCTCTTGGCACTGTTCTGGCTTGTTTAATTAAAATATCAGAAATTATTAGACTCAAATTATTTCCTGATCTGGTGCTCAAACCCCCCTGAAAAACTGTTTCTTCTGTCTCCATATTTAAGCCTTTATCTGCAGGAGGCAGATGAGTTTCCATATGTACGGAACTGAATTCACATAATTCAATATAATTTTGGGAGAAGCATCTAATTTAGTGTCTAAGTAATTAAACAAACAAATCAGATTCGGCTATGCTGAGCCTTGAGTGTTTAAATGCCCCTGTCTTCTTTCTTGGGCTTGTAGCTTGTCAAGAAGAATAGCACTAATGTGGAAAAAAAAAAAAAGTGAAGAACTTTCAGCATGGAGCCGTGACATTCAAAGCAGACATCTTAAATTTTTTCCATGAGAGGAATGGGGAAAAAAGAAAGGCTTCAAGTCCAAGCAACTCACATAAGTCATATTGAAGGCAAAGTAGTCATGTCTGTTACAGACTTCGCCAACGCCGAGGAAGACCTAGCCTTACGCGGTGGCCCAGAGCAGCAGAGGACAGGGAGACATTCCAGGTGTCTCCAAGCTGGCATTTGCTTGCTTCTGGTGGAACTGTGTGGGAAGTTTGCCTTCTTTGAAGTCATCTGCAACATGATCCCCTTTTGCACAGTCAAGCTTGGCTACTACAACCACCAGGCAGCCATTCTTAACCTGTGCTTTGTTGGCGCCTCAGTCCTCAGCCCTGGGTTTGTTGGGTGGATGGCAGACAACTACGTTGGAAGGAGCAAACTGCTGCATATATCCTTACTGCTACATTTTCTAGGTGAGTGTCCCCTGCTAACTGCGTTTCTTTTGTCACATAGTTCAATAAGTTTTTGTTAGAATTCTTAGTTTATTTTATTCCTGCCCTATTCTTAGCATAAGCTATAGTAAATGAAGTATATTGTTTCAGTTTATATTCTATATATTAAGTCATTGGTAGATGTGTGTGTGCGCGGTGTTTTCCAGAATTGTCAATAGCATTCTGGTTAGTACATTTTTGCTAATTACCTCTTTGCATGTCAATCTTCTGCACACCTTAGAATGCCCTTGCTTTCCTCTTTGTGTTCCCACTGAAATTTGCGACAGATTCTATATGAAACATGAAATGCATTTGCTTCACAACTGGATGAATCATGCTGAAAAGGTTGCTGAAGTTCATGGAGAATAACTAAGAGATGTTTGAGTTTTATAATTAATCATATAGCAATTAGATTTCATATAAATATATTCAACTACAGTTAAAGATAAGTGAACAGAACATTAGGATTGCTTACGTAAAGAAAAATAAACATACTCCAGAAGCTTGGGAATGCTTGCTGTGGCATAAAGAGCAAGCTGGTGGATAATCTAGTGTGTGTGTGTGTGTGTGTGTGTGTGTGTGTGTGTGTGTGTGTGAGAGAGAGAGAGAGAGAGAGAGAGAGAGAGAGAGAGAGGACAATGTTGAGAGTAGGTTTTTACTTTCCATCCTGTTTGAGGCAGAGTCTCCCTTGTTTCTGCTGTTGACACGGATGCCAGAGTAAATGGCCTGTAAGCTTTCAGCCAGTTCTCCTCCCTTTTCCTCCACACTTAACACAGGAGTGCAGGGATAAAAGATGTGTGCTACCACGGCCAGCATTTTACGTGGGTTCAGGGCCTGTGAGGTTGCATGGTTAGCACCTTTACCCACTGACCCCGTCTTCATGACCTTACTTGCATTGAATCTGACCGATATTGGGTATGGAAGACAGGACTCACACATGCTCGTCAAGCACTCCACCACGGAGGTACATCCCCACCCCTTTCTACCTTTGTATTTTGAGACAGGGCCTCTCTGGGCTGCCCGGATGGTCTTAGAAAACACTGTGTAGCGCTATCAGGCCTTGAAACTAGTCCTCCTACCTTAGCCTCTCAGCAAGGGGGATGATAAGCCTGTGGTGCTGAGCTTGCCTTCCCTTTCCTCTGTGAGTTGTGCCCCAAAGTTTCCCCTCAGAACTGCCAGGACACTGCAACCTGTTACTAAATAATAGAGTTCTAACCAAACTATGACCGCTGTCAAAATTTATATCAACTTAGATTAAAAATGCAGCTTTCCCCTTGACGATGGCCTTTCTACTGAGCTGCCAGTAATCTGTCCAATTCCAGCCCACATACCAATTTACCAACTTGACTTCCTGAAAAAAAAAAAAAAAGAAATTCATGTTATTTCATATTGTTTCTATTATATAAAAAATAAACTCTAAATTTAGCTTATCAGACCTCTATAATTTATATAAAATGTAATCTATGCTTGCCTTCAATGACGTTGAGATCCTTGCTATGTACTTTTCCCTCTGCCATTCATTCTTGCTCTGTCTGAAAGAGTTAACTTCTTCGAGCATTCACTCCATACCTGAGATTTTTGAAAACCCCTGCTGTTTTGTCCAGACCCATGTTTATTGTTGTCCCTCAGAATTTAGCCATGCTATTATCAAATATAGAGGAGTGATGGGCTGGAGAGACTGGAGGCTGAGTAAATGCTTGATGTGAGCATGGAGACCTGAGCTCATCCCAGAGCCAGTGTCCAAATACATGGTGTGGTGGTCTCCAGTTTTAGCTCAATACTGGGAGATGGAGACAGGCTGCCTGCTAATGTGTAAGTGGCTTTTCCTAGGTCTCTCTCTCTCTCTCTCTCTCTCTCTCTCTCTCTCTCTCTCTCTCTCTCTCTCTCTCTCTCTCTCACACACACACACACACACACACACACAAAACCCTATTCATCCCAGATTTAAAAAAAAAGGTATGACAACTAAAGTAATAATTACATCAAAGTTCAATTTGGGGACCCAGTGAGTTTTTATTTGGGGTTACTAATAGGATTGTGGGGAGAGGTAATTTATATGAGTGGGGATGAATCAAAAGCAGGGGTACCACAAGCATAAAGCACACTCTAACTTGTGTGATGACATGAAATCCATGTCCCTAGAGCTCTTTCTATGACTTTCAGACAGTTCCAGAGTCAAGGACTCCTCCCTCTGCATCTGTCTGACCGACCAGCACTTGTCTGCTGCCTCTACGGCTCTGGGGAGGGGACTTAGTGAATCGTGCAAATTTCATCTTTCCCTGAACATGTGAATGAGGGGTCACCTCATCACCCCTCTCTCTCCTAGAAAGAATGTTGCAATTCAGAGGAAACCACTGCACACCACTAGCGTACTTGGCAAGCCCCATGTCACTAAGATACCTTCATCTGCAAAAGCAAAGTGGGTGGCTTCTGAGGGATAATATCCCCAGAGTTCCCTGCATTTACACACATGTGCTGGAACACATACATGCACACAATCTACATGACTGCATTTATACTTCTGCCAAGCACGTGTTCTCTGCATGTCTGCTTTTTCTGATGTACTTACTCCTGAACTGCTCCCCACCACCTTACATAAGATATGACAGCATGTTTCCCAGTGCTTACAGATATAGGCAGATGACTTATGCAGGGTACAATGGCATACATTAAAGAGAGAAATTCTTATCAAATATATCACAGATTTGTGTTTTTATCACATCAGTTTTACTGAAGATAAAAATGAAGTCTTGATCTAATGAAATCAGAGCGTTGTGACATTTTCTCAAAGGATAAAAATAGAACATTTTTGTGGCTTTTACATCGAGGCATCATATGGTCTAGAAGTAGATTTTTCTTAAATAAGTAGTTACTGCATTGGCCAACTGAGCTGAACATGCTGCTGCATAGCCTTTGGTACTGCCAAACCTCACATCACACTTCTAGGGAAGATTAAGTAGTGGAGAAACATGTTGTTTCACACCTGGCTGACTTTGAAAGAAAACACTTTAAACTCAATGCATTAAAGGGTCCACTCTCAAGGTAAATTATCCCATTGCTGAATGACAATCAAATGCATATATTCTCCACATGGTAAAAACATGTAGAAAAAGACATTAAATGCTGTTCCCAATTCATATTTCTGTGAAATTAAAATTTCAATTTGAGCTCCAATTGAGGAACTAACTGCCCAGAGCCACTCTCTAAAAATTCATACCAAAAATGGTAATGTCAACATAGTTGGATAGAATAAAAGTAATCAAATGGATGAAATAACATTGATAATGTTGGGGATGTAGCTCAGTGACAGAGCGAAAGCCTAATGTGTATGAGGGTTTGGCATCCATCCCTAGTACCACAGGAAAAAAGGAGAAAAAGGAGGAAGGAAGAGAGGATGGAAAGAAGAAAGGGAGGAAGGGAAGAAGGGAGGGAGGGAGGGAGGGAGGGAGGGGAGGAGGGAGGGAGGGAGAAGAAAATAGGACAGGAAGAGAGCTCTACCAATGACATCTCAACATTGGTTTCAAGAGTAAACAATACAGCTTTTGAAAATGAAGGAATGAACAAGTTAGCAATTGATGGGGCTGCACAGTCGCTTCCATTTGGTGAGGAGAATCGTCCTGTGAGGGCTCACAAGGTAAAAGTGGGAACGAGGCTCAAGCTTCCCTTGTCACTCTGTCCCCTACCTCCTCCTGACTGGTCTACATGACTCCAGGACACATGCCCCTCCCGTTTCTCACCTCCCTGTGTATACCAGGAAGGTTCCGTGAATCTGTGTAAGAAAACAGAGAAACAAGGACAAAAGTGGTCAAAGGATAACCTTGAACTCTTGACCTTTTCACCTTTACTTCCTGAGAGCTAGGACCACAAGTATACTCTGCCAGGCACACCAAATGTCTTAATGTTTCTCATGATATAGTTCTGAGTCATCTTAATGTTGTTGAAAATTAGCATCATTTGCTTATACAACCTTCGAGAAAAGATAGTTCGATGTGGGAGGTCCTTCTGTCTGTGTGTTGCTTTTATTGGTTAATGAATAAAGAAGCTGCTTTGGGCCAATGGCTTAGCAGAGCATAGCCAGGGTGGAAGAGATATATGTATACAGTGGGCGGAGTCAGGAGAGTTGCCATGGAGCCACCAGAGGGGAAAGTTGTGAGCTGCCAGCTGGAACCTTACCAGTAGGCCACAAGCCTCATGTCAAAATATAAAAGAATGGAAATGGGTTAATGTAAGAGCTATCTAGCAATACGCTTAAACTATTGGCGAAATGGTATTGCAAATAATAATGTTTCTGTGTGTTTATAGCAGGACTGGGCGAGACAGAAACCTCTTACAACAATGGTTTAAGCTGAAAGGGAAATACACAGAACCCTGGATTAGTTTAAACACGCAAGAAAAAGAATTTTCATTTTTATATAATTTCTTTATATATGTCAACCCTAAATGAATGAAAATCTTGTGTTTGTTATTTTATTTTCAATTATGTACGTGAGAGAATGGGGTTTAAGCATGTAAGCACAGCCCGCAAGGGGCAGAAGAGGCATCTGTCACTAAACAGCACAGAACTGAGCTTGGTCCTCAGCAGGAGCAGCACAAGCTCTTAACAACTAAGCCGTCTCTGCAGACACAGAATTTCCACACTTAGAAAACCCAAGCCATCCCTGAAATTGCAATGATTGACCTAAGTATGCGAGTAAGATATTCTCACGCAAACTTGAGCCTCTCTTTCAGAGGGAAGTGCTTATTTAGGACGTGCTTCGGTGAGTCTGTGGGTTTGCACTATTTGTATTCTCTCTTCTCTCTGCCACCAGGCACTGCTTTGTTATCCATGATTGCTTTCCCCTTGGAAGATTTTTACGGAAGCTCTTACCCTGTGGTCAACCACGTGCCTGTGGAAGAACGGGCAGGAATGTTTCACACAGCACTGCTGACCCTCTGCCTGGGCACAGGAGGAATAATGGTTGTCATCTGTCCATCTGATGCTTACAACCCTCAGGAACACGAATCCAAGAAGCCAAGGTCTTTTTTTAACTGGTAAGTGGCACTGATTAGTAGAAAAAAAACTGAATTATCTCACTCTTTCTTTGTTTGGGTTTTCTCTCTGTGTGGCCTTTCTCAATGGTTGGGCTGAGTAAGTGAAAATGTGGTGACCTCTGTGATGATGGTTCAGCTAATAATCCTGGTCAAGGTTGGACACGTGGCTCGGCAGTTTAGAACACTGGCTGCTCTTCCAGAGGACTGCAGTGTGGTTCCCAGTGCCCCAGTCAAGTGGAGTACAGGTGCCTGTAACTCCATTTCCAGGAAATTCAATGCCCTCTTCTGGCCTCTGCAGGCACACACATGTATATGCAACATACATAGGCATACAGACACATACACAGACACATACATAAACAATAAAGCCGATCTTAAAAATAATAATTATCAGCTATAGATCAGAACCAGCAACTTCTCAAGAAAAACTCATTAATTTATCCTCCAACTAAGAAGGCATACTGTGGTTTGTCGCAATGAATAGAATGAGGCCTCTGAGCCTAAAAGGCCAGGTGGAAGTCTCACCTCTACTTACCAGAACTGCCCATGACCAAGTCATCTCTCTCTAGCATGTTCATGTCTGAAGACAGCGTTAGCACTTTGTCAGACGTAACTGCGGGAAACAGAGAACCTGGTGCACAGCTACAGATAATCACAAAGAAGGGAAGGGAGGCTGTCGTCCTTATGTCTACTTGCAGCAGAGTCTGGCTAGGTTGTTAAGTTCACAGTCCAGCGTAAAGAGGAGATGACAGCGAAAAAGAGTCTTTCAGAACACGTTGGATACCTGCCAGTATCCTTGAGGTGATGTTTCGTGACAACCTAACTATCTTTCTCTGTCGCTTTGCTACTTGGCCTGGGACACCTGGCTTTTCACATGGGTTCTTGGAACTAAACTTGAGTCCCCATAATTGCACAGTACACGTTTTACATACTGAGCTATCACCCCAGGCTCTATATGCTTTTGTTTTGTTTTGTTTTTGTTTTGTTTGTTTGTTTTTCAAGACAGGGTTTCCCTGTGTAACAGTCCTAGCTGTCCTGAAACTAGCTCTTGTAGACCAGGCTGGCCTTGAATTCACAGGAATTCTGTGAACTCTTGGGAACTCTGCCTCCCAAGTGTTGGGATTAAAGGTATGCACCACCACTGCCTGTTTCTATATGTTTTAAAAGGAACCAGTTTATATACTATAAAATAAAGATTTGGGAAAACAATTGAGATTTGACAGTTGATGAAGAGTCACCCACTGTTCATAGCTTAGCGTAGAATTTACCTGAGTGCTTTCATTAGTGGGTATTGCCCAGCTATGACTCACCATTAAAGCATGGATGAGAGCCATTTCACAGCTTTCAGCTGCAGGATGGGTTAGCTAGTGTTCCAGGAAAGTTCTATTTAAACCCAAAATGTCATCCCAAATGCCCATGTATGGAGTGTTTCTTCCCTGACCTATGGTACTCTGGAGAGACTGTAGGCCCTTTGCACATTGGAGTCTCATATAAAACACAAACTATGGAATTCTGGCCCTTTCCTCTTGTACTGCTTGCTTCTGGGTCTCAACTAGGTGAGAAGCTTTGTTTGGTCATCTGGCTCCAGCCACAGCCACAAGGTACTGCATTATCACAGAAGCCCTGGCAACGGGTCAGCCCACAAAGGGCCCACTGAAATCTCGGGAGCTGGGACATCACACTTTCCTCCCTCTATGTTGACTGTTGCATAAATGCTTGTCACAACAGGTGGAAGCTACCAGAAATGCATGGTTTTCACACTGGGTTTGTCTGTCTGTTAGATTTTTTGCTTTTTCTGTTGCTTTATTTTGTGTTTTTGGTTTGGTTTGGTTTGGCTTGTTCTTTTGGTGTGCGTGTGTGTGTGTGTGTAAAATGGGTTCTCAGCATTGTCTAGAATAACTATCTTGCTACGGGTAAATCAAGGCAGACAGCACCAGACAAAAATGTTAAAAAAAAATTAATGTTGGGAACATTAAGTGACGACTGGAGAGAAGGCTCAGTAGTTAAAAGTACTTTGCTGCTCTTGCCAATGATCCAGGTTCCATTGTTGCTAGCACCCACATGTGGAGAAAAGTCACCTCTAACTCCAGTTCCAAAGGGCATCCAACATGTTTTCCTGAGCTAGGAAGAAACCAGGCAGACACCTGGGTTGCATACATATGTGGAGGCAATGCACTCACACACATTTTAAATTTAAAAAAAAAATGTGCCTTCAACGAAGTGTTTAGAGTCAACGTTATCTATGAATATGCAGCTCTACAGGCAGATTCCTTCTCTTCCTCACACTTCTCCTCCCGCTTTATATTAATATTACAAAACACTCAAGCCTATTTTGGATTAAGTACTAATGTAAGGGAAAGATACAGTCTATCAAAGGGAAAAGGGATGTTCACTACCTCATAGCAAATTCTGCCTCTTTGACCTGCCCAAAGGAGAATGAAATCCTTCTTTTTCATTCTATTTGGAGGTTTTAATCCTTAATTAGCAACATCATTTTGATTAAATAAGACTCTGGAGGATTATGACGGGAGAGCCACCAGTTGTTCTGAAAGATAGCCCCAGAGACTGCATTGTACTGTGGTTTGAGTCGTTCAGAGTTGTGCTTAATCAAAGTGCCATCTCTCGGTGTTGATTACAAAAGGGATATTATATGAATGAACTCCTTCCTTTGGGAAATGGAGAGGACTCCCAGTGGGTTTGTGCTTCAGGGATTTGGGTAGGAGGATGCGGAGTGTCACACAATGAAATTGAGGAGCTGGGAGGAGCCAGGCCAGATTCTGGAAGAACACATTTAGCAAACACTTTTTGCTATTTTCTAATTTCATTAAAATCTCTGAGGAGAATAATCCTGTGGCGCTGTTGAAGCCTGAAGGTACAAGTGTCTGGGCAGGGGCTGGGGGAGGAGTAGACAAAGAACCACAGTATTACTTTTTTTGGTTTGCTTGCTTTCTTGGTTTAAATACTAAACTACAGAACAAATTTTGTCATTATCTACTTACTAAAGTTAGTAGAAATAAATGACAAGAATGAAATATCTGTTCTAAAACATTCTGAATGGATGGGTGGCGAGAGTAACAGAGCCTCCACAGGCAGCTAGCTGGCAGAATCTTATATTGGTCACTTGGGATGGCTATAACTTCCAGCAAGGTCGGTAGCTTACAGAAATCAGGGTTCCCCAGGCACAATGTAGGAATACCTCAGAGGGATGTATTGCTGCTTATACACAGAGTATCCTAACTTAACACTAGCGCTAGAAATTTAAAGGCTTTTATTATTATTGAACAATGAGCAAGTCATAGCTTAAAATCTTTGTTATTGATAGGAAAGAGAAAACCTATTTAATAGGTAGCCATCTTTAAAATAGGCTCACAGCTAACTCAATTGTTTTCTCAGAGTCCTAAAACCCCCTAATGGGCTAAGGTTACAGTTCAGTGCTAGAACGGTTGCCTCGCGTTCATGAGGCCCCAGGTTCAATTACCAGTGCCACAAAAGAAAAATAAAATCCTAAAAGTTGCAAGCATGGAGAACGTAATTGATTTCAGCAGCTCCTTTCAAGGGACAACGGACCACTTTAATCTAACCGAAGCCTTGCGTTTCGTCCTGCTTCCAGCACAGATGTCGGATGTTCATAGCGGCAAGACCTTTAATGAGATGTGTCTTTGCGTCTGTTCCACCCAAAGCTTCCCTGCGATCCTGTTAAGCAGTGTAGGCTGGAAGTTTGAGGAGCTGAAAACAGCGATTCTGAGTAAGGTTGCCAAATGTAAGGGAGAAAGCCACTGCTAGCCAACGGTGCCATCTGGAGCAGTGTCTCCGCAACTGTGTGCCTCACGGGAAGCATAAAGTGGAAGTTCTCTGAAAAGGAACTCTCTGCCAGCAGCCTGGTGTACGGACCCAGATCGGAACCGGCTCTTTCTGGGATTTCCAGGTTCTTAGGCGTGCAGCTATGAGCCACCACACTGGAGATAATGCAAGTAAGCACACCCGAGCAGATTCTTTCCTGGAAGCCAGAGGATGGTGGAAAATGAACCCTGTTTATGGCCGTGATTTTAAAGCCTACCACCGTCAGCTTCAAACCGCTCTTCACATTTTTTTTCTACCTCCCTTAGCTGATAATTCGCGTTCTATCTCTGCTTAACAATGTGCTGCATTAGGCAGAATCGAAGTCCCAAGTAAAATATTGACTGGGTTCTTGAAAGGGGCAAAAGATGAATTTATTCCATCTCCCGCATTTCAGATGTGGGTATCGAAACTGACCCTACACTGTCCAATACAAAAATGCTCTCTGTTGAGTATTGTGGTGTTTTGAGAGAAAACAGCCCTTGAAGAGAGTAGCAGTATTAGGAGGTGTGCCTTTGTTGGAGTAGATGTGTCCTTTTTATAGGAAGTGCGTCATCACTCTGGGGGTGGACTTTGAGGTTCCCTATGCTCAAGCTACTCCCAGTGAGACATAACACTTCGTGTTGATTGCAAGAGAAGATGTGGGACTCTCAGTTCCTGTTTCAGCACCACAACTGCCTGCCTGCTGTCTTGATCCATGCCATGACAGTAATGGACTAAACCTCTGAACTGTAAGTAAGTCAACATAATTAAACATTTTCCCTTGTAAAGCTTGCTGTGGTCATGGTGTCTCTTTACACTAATGGAAACCCTAATTGAGACAGATATGAACTCAAATGTAGAATCTTTATGTTAAGGAAGCACTGGAGTTAAAAAGCGATTGTTACACCATTTTTTTTCCCCAGAAGCTGAACCCAGAGAACAATGTGTTTCAACTCTAGAAGCACATTAAAGCAATCAAAGGATCCTTTAAAAGTTTACTGGTCCTGCACCTTGGGAGCCTTGGTTACATTAGTTTGACACAGGACACCGGGAAGGGAAATTGTTTTCTGCATTTTCAAGCTGACAGAATAGAGTTGAAAACGACTGTTCTCAAATAGCGTTACTTGACTTTAACATTCTACAAAAGCAAGTAGGATAGTTGTGAGGGTGGTGTCCAGGAG